ATAGAGTTCTCCATCCAGAAAAAGCCCGCCCAGAGTCCTTTAAAATCTCTGACTCCCCACCCCTGGGTGCTGGCACCATTTTGGGGCTCAGTCCATCTGGCTTTCAGATGACCTGGTTTGCAATTCCTACTGCTTTAGGCCTCCTGCATTCCTCTGTCAGTGACCCTAACAATGATGTCTTGTGCTTTGTTCAAGCTATGTTTCTTAAAACTGAAAGTGTATCTAAAATGTCTTCCTAAAAGTCCATCTAAGAAATGCTGGCTGTTTGCTTTTTTGTTCATTATTGGAAATTGAGGTTTCTGAGTTCAAAGTTCAAATTAAGTTGAAAGAAACTGCATGGTTTTGGTAATAGGATGTGTAAGGTATGGAAATATATTTTGAAGGGAAAAGAAAGTGAATTGTTCTAAAGCTGGTTGTTGCTGAATGAGTAAAAAGAGTTGGGAAAGTTGTAGAGAGGTTTGTGAATGTTATAGGAGGTTTGTAAAGAGAAATGTTAAAAGGAAGTTATATAAATGACGGGCCAAATTGAAACTAAATTTAATACAGTAAATACTGTACATTGCTCTTAATTTGACTCTTTAATAAAAATGACGGTGATTTTAGGGGGGAAATGTGTTTCAATAGACTCTAAAATACAGTTATCAATATTAGCCTCTACTTCAATTAATTATCTTCAAAGTTTTATTTTTCACCTATGAGTTGAACTGGATCCTGAATTTTTCTAGTGTTCTTAAATATTTGACTACAACCCTCCAAACCAATGTTTCATTTTTCTCCAATCTTTTGACTTGGAATTAGTGAGAACTGAATGTTTTTTTCCTCCCACTGGACCATTTTTCATAATTCTTTTTAAAAAAATATATTTTACTGATTTTTTACAGAGAGGAAGGGAGAGGGATAGAGAGTTAGAAACATCAATGAGAGAGAAACATCGATCAGCTGCCTCCTGCACACTCCCTACTGGGGATGTGCCCGCAACCAAGGTACATGCCCTTGACTGGAATCAAACCTGGGACCCTTGAGTCCACAGGCCGATGCTCTATCCACTGAGCCAAACCGGTTAGGGCCATTTTTCATAATTCTTGTCTTTCTAGCTTTTGTCCAATAAAATTTTTTAATAATATTTTTTATTAATTTTTAGAGAGAGGGAAAGACAGAGAGAAATATTGCCCAGGCTGGGGAGGAGGCCATAACCAAGACATGTGCCCTTGATCAGAACCAAACCCGGAACCTTCTGTCCATACTCTATCCACTGAGCCAAACCAGCTAGGGTTGCCCCAATACAATTTATAACAGGGATTGTCTCCACCAGGTTACAAGCCCTACTCATACTCAGGAAATACCATCTCTAGACACCTCCTTCCCTGCCCAGGCCTCATCGCCCCACTGACAGAGAGCGAGGATCGCTTGGCTCTGAGGTAAAACGTCACC